TTTTTTTGAGACAGAGTCGCCCTTTGTTGCCCAGGCTAGAGTGAGTGCCGTGGCGCCAGCCTAGCTCACAGCAACCTCCAACTCCTGGGCTCAAGTGATCCTCCTGCCTCAGCCTCCCGAGTAGCTGGGACTACAGGCATGCGTCACCATGCCCAGCTAATTTTTTTATATATATTAGTTGGCCAATTAATTTCTTTCTATTTATAGTAGAGACAGTGTCTCGCTCTTGCTCAGGCTGGTTTTGAACTCCTGACCTCAAGCGATCCGCCTGCCTCTGCCTCTCAGAGTGCTAGAATTACAGGTGTGAGCCACCGTACCTGACCTCCAGCAATCCGCCTGCCTCAGCCTCCCAGAATGTTAGGATTACAGGCATGAGCCACCGCGCCCGGCCTTGTTGCCCATTATTTTTTGCTGTCTATGGTATTGTAGAAACAATATGAAGTTGCCCATGGATCAAATCAGAGAATCTTCTTTGGGCACACATTTCTCTTCATATACCTTTGGAATAATTCTATTGCCTTGTCTCAAGCTCACTCCCTTTCTGAAATTATATGTAATGCCATCTCAACAGTATACATTAGGCTTTGCCTCTTGTACCCACTATGAAATTAAAGGAGAAGCCTACTGAGATCCCACTACTGTATATCACATTTACTTACAAAAGATGAGAGGATGGTACAGATAGAGACTAAGAGCAGGTGAACCAAAGATCAACATGACATTGCCCCTTGTGTTCAACAAACATGGAATATCATCCAAAGATAGTAAAGATGCATTTTCCTTACTTAAACATATCCAATCAATTTTAATCATTTGGTCATGAGCTGCTTCCTTATTTTCATGCCATTCTACTCTGCTGTCATTGCTATAGCACAAGCTCATCACATAACATACCTAAAAATTCAGTTGTGGGAAAAACACAGAAAATCTACATTAAGCATCCATTTCATAGAATGTTACCCTATAGTTAAATCACTGAATTAAACCCAGATAAAACAATCCTATTAAGGATGTTTAGATTTCATTCATCAGCGAGAAAACCAAATATCCATGTGGTGCACATTAACAAAATGTGCCTATTAGTAATGTTTCCCAGTAGGTTATTATTTCCGACTCCTACAGGCCATTCAATTAGTTTAAATTTTAAAGTAATATTCAGAGAAGCTAAAGATTTACTCAAGACCATACTGTTACTTAATGATGAAAAGAAAAAGAGAAAACACTTTCTTATAGCTTCTACTTCCCTTCTTTGTCCTTGAGTAGCTCTGCCTCTTTAAGAATACAGAGCTAAGAGACCATACAACATGAGCAATATCACTTATTGATATTATTTGTAATTAAAAGTTCATTGAGGCAATATATGTAACCTTAACAATATTTGTACCCCCATACTATGATGAAATTAAAAAAAAGAAAGAAAAAAAAGGTTCATTGAATATTTACTGTGTTCAAGGCACTTTGAAGAGTGACAAAGTAAATCATATAATTATAATTCAACATGACAAAATATTATTTGACAATTTTTTGTGGGTAGTGAGACATCATCTCCCCATATTGCCAATATAGAAAAGGTAAAATTCCACATATAAAAGCATACTTTTATGATAGCAAAACTTCTCCCAGATTTCCATTGTCACATACAAATCCAAAGGCTATTTATAACACATTTGAGTTCTACTTTTTTCATTCCCATCTTTACTACACCCGATCTTTGAGTCTTCAGAGAGTAACTGCTAATTCGGGAGGCAGTTGTGCCTTCTGGAACAATCCCTGTTAGATTACCTCAGCTCTGTCACTTGAAAGCTAAGTGATCTCAGCCTTTATCACTAAAATTCTTTGAGCCCCAGATTCTCTGTCTATAAAAGGTACATAAAATTTAACTTATCCACTTGTTATGATTAAATGACACAGGACATTAGTCCTCAGCCAAACAGAAAGTGCCATATAAAAGTGTGGAATCGTGCTATGTTTATAAGAAGCACCACTGTCCCCAAATAATTCCCTTTTTTGTCTGCTAATGAGACCTAAAATAGCTGTCATTGTATTCACCTCTTTGACTGAAAGTACCAGGACCGTGGTAAACTATAAGTATGTCATAGGAAATAATATATTAAATAACTATTAAAATAGTCCATTGAGGTACCTAGTTGTGATGGGTCATTGCAGAAGACATTTATTATTGATAGTAATAAATAGAAACAGACTACTGATTCATGTAACAACATGAAAGACCATCACAAATATTATGTTGATGCAAAGAAGTCAGACAGAGGCAAAACAAAGTTCATGGAGTATGATTAGATTTTTATGAAATTCTAGAATATGCACAATGAGGGCACAAGGGAATTTTCTGGAGTGATGAAAATGTTCTGTGTCTTCAAAATGGCATGGGTTATGTTAATACATGGATTGTTCAAAACTGATTTAAAGGGGCACTCAAGATCTGAGCATGTCACTGTATGCAAATTATACTTTCATTAGAAATCGTCTAATGCTATTGTGGTTATTTATTTATTTATTTAGAGACAGAGTCTCACTCTGTTGCCCAGGCTAGAGTGCTGTGGCATCAGCCTCGCTCACAGCAACCTCAAACTCCTGGGCTCAAGCCATCCTCCTGCCTTAGTCTCCCGAGTAGCTGGGACTACAGGCATGCGCCACCATGCCCAGCTAATTTTTTCTACATGTATTTTTAGTTGGCCAATTAATTTCTTTCTATTTTTAGTAGAGATGGGGTCTTGCTCTTGCTCAGGCTGGTTTCGAACTCCTGACCTTGAGCAATCCTCCCGCCTCAGCCTCCCAGAGTGCTAGGATTACAGGCGTGAGCCACTGTGCGCCTGGCCTATTGTGGTTATTTTTAAATAATTCTTGTATTTTACAGGGGTATGCTGAAATGTTTTCAAAGGAAAAAAATATATGTTAAGCTTGAAATTAGTAAAACGGTAGAGGGAGGAGTTGGTAGTGACAAAGTGTGTAAGCATATAGATGAGACATGATTAGCCAAGCATCGAAAAATTGTGGAAGTTGAGTGATTTTCACATGGGAATCCTTTCTTCTCCCTACTTTTATATATGTTTGAATATTTTTCACATTAAAAAAGTGGAAGAGAGGGATTATCTGCGTTCATCCCCTCATTTGCAAAAGAGAAAACTACTGGAAATAGAGAAACACAACTTGCTGAAGGTCTCAAAGCCAGGCAGCAAACCTGTTCCCAAGTCCAACCTTCTTTCTCTGACCCCAAAGAAGCACGAAATACGAGCTACTGCATTATGGACAGGCTGATCTTCAAAAGGGCAGACCAAGAGTGCAAGGACGTGATTTTAGCAACAAATACTTGTGACCTTCTTTCTTTCTTTCTTTCGTCCATTTTATTTTATATACAAGCATTTGCATCCTGTTCCTTGTGGCTTCAAACCGTTGTTTTGTAGATTTAAACTGGATTTGACTCAACTTTCAGAACCCAAAGGAGTTGGAAAGGATCAGAGAAAAGGATCAGAGATTGTAGAAAAGCATGATTTGCTACAAAAATAAAACCAAAACAAATTTACAAAAAAATCCAAAAACCATGCAGCAAACATTTGTTTTTCCTTCCAGTGCTGCACTCATGTTCCAGCCCAGGCAGGGAGAGCAGAGGCAATCTGCTAGTGGGAGGAGCTTGGTTCCCTTTTCTGGTGTGATCTGCAACAGCTGTCTTCCCCTGGAGCTCGGAAAGAGGTGAAAATGTGTTAAGCGATGCAAAAAAAAAAAAAAAAAAAAAAAAAGTCTTGAAGTTCGCGTGTGACTGCGCGCGTGGCGGGGAGGAGGGGCGGGTGGGGACTCCGGGGACAGCTGTGCATCCGAAGGCAGAAAGGTGAGCGGTGTGCAGAACGCACGTCCCTTCCAGAAGGAGCCGCATGCATGCAAGCGATGGTCCGGGAGGAGGGTGCACCGCGCCGAATCTGTCGCCTGGACTGCAGACCCGGGTCTGGAAGGGGGTCCCCATTTGGAGAGGCAGAGCCTTGTGACCGCGGGGCTTAGACGGCCGGGGCGCTCGCGCTTACCCCGCGCTCCGCCGCCGGTGGGGAAAGCAGAGCCTGGCGGCCGCCGATTGGCGGCGGAGGAGATGGTGACAGTGGGTGGGACGAGGACTCGCGGCGCCGCCTCCTGCCTCCTCCACCTGTGACTCCCGCTCGCGAGCCGCCTCTGCCCCCGCGCGACCCTTCCCCGCGAGTCCCGCGCCGGGGACGAGTTCAAATCCCGAGGCCCTTTGAACTAAAGTGACCCTTTCGCGTTGTGCCCTGTGACCGTTTATCGAATTTCTGCGGAACGTGTGCGGGTGTGACGGTGTGAGCAGCCTTCCCGGGCCGCCTGTCCCTTTCTGCAGGTCCCCAAGTGACAGGCTCTGCCTTTGGGGGCCGATCCCGGACGTCCCCGGGACCCCCAGGTTGGCTCTGATTAGGGGGTCTCCGAGAGGATCCCCAGAGGGGACAGGAAGGGAGGGGCATGGGAGAGAGGAGAGACATCGCCCCCCCCCGTGTCCCCCCCTCCCCCGGTGGCCGCTGGAGTCCCGGTGACCCTGAACTTGAGCTGGAGCGCAGGGCTCCCCGCCTTCCCGCCTCGCGGGCCCGGCGCGCGGCTGCAGCAGTGGGTGGTTCCCGCTGTCCCCACCCCGCGTCCCCACCCCGCGTCCCCACCCGCGTCCCCACCCCCACCCCCACCCGAGGGAAGGAGCGGGCGCACGCGGCGGGGAGAGCAGCGCGCGCCGAGACAGGGGCGGGCAGAGGCGCTGCCAGATCAGCCGAGGGGGCGGCGAGCCGAGGACCGGCGGGAGGAAGGGCAGGAGGAGGAGGAGGAGGAGGAGGAGGACCGCGGCGAGGAGCAGGGGCGGGCGAGAGCGGGCGAGCGACCGAGCGCCGCGACGCGCGAGCCAGGTGAGTGCGGGCTTCTGCCCCGAGCGGCCTTCGCGCTCCCGGCCGCCCGCGCCGGCGACCCGCGGCCTCCTCCCCCGGCCTAGCGCGGGGACGGGGAGTGGCCATTCGACGACAGGTTCGCGGGTTTGCCTCCCACGCCCCCAGCCTCCTGTCGCCGGGCGGTGCTGCCGGCAGCCTCCTCTGGGGACCGTCCCTCTCCGGGTTCCGCCTCCGCCCTTCCTTCCTGTGCGCTCCTTTCCCTCCCTCGTCCCTTTTAAATCATATTTGGGAATCGTTTAATTATTATTATTTTTTTTTTTTAAAGAGAGGGTGGGGGGGCGGAATCGGAGTCGTGGAGAAGCAGAGACACTCAGGTAAGGACTTGGGGACCTAAATGGGGACATCTTTGGAAATCCTGGAGAACCTGGGTGGGAGAGGAGGCGTCGTGATCGCTGGGAGGGGGGGTGGCGCCGCGGTGAGGACCTGCTGTGCCTTGTCCCCCGCGTGAGCGCTTGTCGCTTAGACGAGCTTGGGGACAGTAAGTTGACCTGGCTTTCCTCCTGCTCCCCGCGTCCCCCTCGGGTCCTCCCCAAAGGCTGAGGGGTCAGGCTGCTTCTCTGGGATACGCTTGTCCTTCGGGAAACGGGGGATGCTCCCAGGAGCAAGAGCCTCCAACTTTTGTGTCTCTCTGTCACTTATATTCCTCTGATCGTTTTTTTTGCATTTGCAAATCGTTAAATGGGAGGGCGAGTCAACAGGTGGTAAGGGGTTAACAAGTGCGGGCGCGGGGTGCGCTAGGATTCCGGCTGAGAACGCCCCCTCGGGTGGCTGGCGCTGTCCCCAGACTGCCCGCGGTGTGACCCCCGCATCGCCTGCTCCGGGGAGATAGGCGAGGGCGGGCGTGGGTGGGTGGGCTGATGGATTGGAACTCGCGCCCCTGGGCTCTCCGCTCTTTGCCTGAGGTTCAGCCACACCCGGAGTGAGTAGCTGCCTTCCTGCCCCTTTCCAAGATGCACCTGTTAGCTCTCTTGCGGGATTCCTTTTAAGGAGGTCCCTGACCCTCAGTCTCGGACTCCCTTTCTTTTCCTTTGCTTTTCCTTCTACGCATGCTTCTAACTTCCACCGTCACCTTTTGGACGCTGGGAAGTTGCAAGAGAGGTCTTTTTCATGCAACTCCACTTGTGAAATGAATCCATGTTTAGACTTTTACTAGCCAAGATGGATGGGAGATGCTACATGTTTAATGCCAAAGCTAAAAAAAAAAAAAGGCTGCTTTGTCCAATGGTTGAAATGAGGGTACACTTTTTAAAAGAGTCTTGCATTTTTTTGGGGAGGGGGGTGTTCTATTGATTTTTTAGGGGTTTTGTTTTTTTTAACCTTGGGTGGTTTCAGTTTGGTTTTCTTTTACCCAAAAGTTCTCATTCCAAGTGTATTTTATACTCTCCAGGGTGGTGTAAAGGAATTCGTTAGCCATGGATATATTCAAGAAAGGACTTTCAAAGGCCAAGGAGGGAGTCGTGGCTGCTGCAGAAAAAACCAAACAGGGTGTGGCAGAAGCAGCAGGAAAGACAAAAGAGGGCGTTCTCTACGTAGGTAGGTAACCCCTACATGAGATGTTGGTATTTATTTATGAGCGATGGCTTAGAATATTCAATATTCTACATGTTGTTCCTTCTCCCCGAAATTCATTTTTGCATCACGGCTTGTCAAAAGGATGCCCTGAGTCAGAGGCATGCGTAGGTTAGTGAACCTGAGTGTGTGTATGTGAGCTAATAGTAAAAAGTGGGGCTAATTGTTTGCTTTTCCAGATTATTTAATTTTGAGATCATCTTTTGGACTTTTTCGTTTCTTTCTTTCTTTCTTTTTTTTTTTTTTAATGACTGTTTTTGTGCCTAAGTGACTGTATTGCAGAGGACAGTTCTAAAACTCATAGGCTTTTTTTTTTGAGACAGAGTCTCACTTTGTTGCCCAGGCTAGAGTGAGTGCTGTGGCATCAGCCTAGCTCACAGCAACCTTGAACTCACGGGCTCAAGCAATCCTGCTGCCTCAGCCTCCCAAGTGGCTGGGACTACAGGCATGTGCCACCATGCCAGGCTAATTTTTTTCTATATACTTTTAGTTGGCCAATTAATTTCATTCTATTTTTAGTAGAGACAGGATCTCACTCTTGCTCAGGCTGGTTTCAAACTCCTGACCTTGAGCAATCCTCTCACCTCGGCCTCCCAGAGTGCTAGGATTACAGGCGTGAGCCACCATGCCCGGCCTTCATAGGCGTTTAAAAAATAATCAAGAATATTCTTCAGAATCAAAATTGATCATGGGCCTTTGATTTCTATTATCATCATAGATAATGAATAATAGTTGCTAATTTTAATGTGTTCTGATATTAAAATAAGCCTTTGGTATGGCCCTGCAATGTGGAAAAAGAGACCTATTGTGAACCTGAAGTAGAAACAAAGATTAGTCTTTGGTGGGACTACCCTTGGGGTCACTTGGTCACTGTGAACACGAGGGATTAAGTGCTGAAGGAAGCGTTTGAGGGCTGCTACTAATGTCTTACAAATGTTTATATAGTTCATTTGTCAAATGGCACGTGCTATTAATAAAGAGATTGGTGCCTATCACCTTACTAGTTCTTCAATTTCCATCTTGGAGAATCCACCAAGGCTCTTCATTTGAGCTGTTAACTTCTGTTCAATTCTCCTGTGAAATTGGGTGTTGTTTTACAAACCACTTCAAAGTCTTTGGGGGAAAGAATAGACACACACACACACACACACACACACACACACACTCTGCCCATTCTTCCTCTCCTCTGCTCCTCTGAGCTCTTCCAAACTCTCTGGTGGGAACTAGGGCAGCAGGAGTACCCGGATGAACAGACAGGTGGCGGATGAGCCTGTTGGGTGGCATAGATGATATGGGTGCCTATGTCTATGGGGTAGAAGAAAGCTACACTGTCTCCTCAATATATTACAGATTAGCAGGAGAAAATTTAAACTTGGAATGATTTTTTAATGAATGCTTTTCATCAACGTTTACAGCAGATTTCTTTTTTTGCTCAGTCTTCCTAGACTCTTCATATTAATCTTCTCACACATCTTCAGTGAAATTACTCTCCCTTTCTCTACCTGAAAGCATAGTTTTCAGAAAATCATCGAAATAGCGTTACAAGAGGGAAAAAATGAGGGGTTAATATTGTGACATGTGAATTATGTATTTTTTAGATGGAATTTGGAATACTGAATAGGTGACGCATCCAGATTTTCAATATCTTTCTGTTTTTTTCCCCCCTCGATTTTCCAAGTTCTGCAAGTAGAAGTTTGCATCCATTCTATGACTTCAGTTACTTTATAACATTTCACTGAAATCATTTCCTCTGTCGGTCATGGTATTTAACACATAGCATGTTCTATACATTATTTATTGGTGATATTCTGAGGTCTAACTGAAAGATGAACTCATGCATAGGATTCAAGATGAAAAGAGACCATGTGAAGAGACAATGGTATAGTCAAGGAGTTGGCAAAGTTTTTTGGTATAGAACTTGATAGCATGTATTTTAAGTCGTAAAATCTCTGTCTCAACTACTCATCTCTGCTGTTGAAGTGTGAACCCAACTACATATAACTAGTGTGGCCGTGTTCCAATAAAACTTCTATATTTACCAAAAGAGAAGATGGGCTGGAATTGTCCATAGTTTGCAGTTTACTGACTACTGGAAAGAAAATGGACTTGATGTCATACAATCCAACATTTTGGTCCAGGTTACATCAATTATTACCGTTAGGGTCTTGAAGAAGTTGGAGCATCACTTCATTACCAAAACTATTACTAATAACTAGTACGAAAGATTGGATATGACCAAAGAAAATTTTATGATTTCTGTTATGGCTGAAGAATTTTAGCAGAAGCCTCATAAGAAATGTAATCTCTTCAAGTCAGTGACAAGTCTATAAGAAAAAAAAAATGTAATCTCATTCCTCATAAGAATATGCTTTTGGTAACTACCTTTTAACTAATTGAAGATTGGCCATAATCATCGGTGTTGTTTTTATGGTTTTTTTTCCCTCCATTTATGTTATCTGTGTACACAAATTTCCAATCAATATACTTTAGTTTATTAGGTGAAAGTTGCCTTCATCAAATGACTCAGAAATTACAAGATAGATTTAAGTTCAAAAGCAAAAAAAATTTGATTATCTGCATATAATACCAAGTATTGTAATGATAATTGCAAGAAAATGATCATCTTCAAAACTCTTCCAGTGCCACTCTGTTCAATGACAGCAGTGGTCATCAGTGTGATCAGTAGCAAACTCCCAAGTCACAATGTGCTTCATTCACCTCGCCAAGTTGACAAAGTCAACATGACACGCACAACAGCGGGATAGCTTGAGTTCTCGCATTTTCCAGACATTACTTTTGATCTTCTCCACTCTGTACTCTTGTGAGGTCGTAGGGGACAAGGCAGGGTGTTGGGTGTGGGCCACCTCAGCTCCGTGAAGCCACCAGCTCTAGTGTCCCTTCAGCTTGTTTATATCTCGATAGTCCCATATCCAATTGGTACCCACTTTGTAGCCATGTCTTATCAATTACAGAATACTCATAAATTAAAGGCCAATCATCAATTACAGATTACTATTCAGCAAAGAACAGACGATTGGCCTGATACATAGCAACCTCATCAGGACTTTAATTTGTCTTTTTTTTTTCTGGATACATATGCATCTCTTTATTTGGGGTTCTACAAATAATATAAAATATGCCACATGAGATATTTATAAAATATAATTAATTATAATTTCTAATGGTTTGGTTTAGTGGTATTCTCTCTTTTCTGTAAAATTAATGTTATTGTGTATATTGAATGTATGCACCATGAAGTTATGGGATATATACAGGGAGTAAAAAGGTTACTATAGTGAAGCAAGTCAATACATCCATGATCTCATATAGTTACGTTTGTTTTTGTGGCAAGGACAGCTAGAATCTACTTGTTTAGCACGATTCCCACATACAGTACAATTTTATTAACTGCAATCCTCATGTTGTACATTACATCCCTACACTTGTTCATCCTACCTTCCTGCTACTTTGGATCCTCTGACCTGTGTCTCGCCATTTCCTACCCTTTCCTCTGCCTCTGGTAGCCACTGTTTGGATCTCTATCTGTGTATGTGAATTTTTCTTTTTAATATTCCATATATAAGTGAGATAATGTGATATTTTTCCTTCTGTGTCTGGCTTTTTTCACTTAGCCTAATGTCCTTCGGGTTCATCCATGTTGTGAATGGCAAGATCTTGTTCTTTTTCAGAGCTGATTGGTATTCCATCGTGTATATGTGCCACAGTTTTTTATTCATTTATCCATCGATGAATACATATGGTTGTTTTCTTAACTTGGCCATTGTTAATAATGCTGATTTGAACCTGGGAGTACACATGTCTTTACAAGGTGGCGATTTCATTTCCTTTGGGTATATGCCCCAAATAGGGCTTCCTGCGTCTTATGGTAGTATTATTTTTAATTTTTTTTCTTTTATGTTTATTTGACACATAATAGTTGTACATATTTATGGGGTACAGAATTCTATTTCAATACATGTATGCGACGTGTAACGATCAAATCAGGGTAATTAGCAGATCCATTACCTCAATCATTTATCATTTCTTGGTGTTGGGAATATTCAAAATCCTCTGTTCTAGATTTTTTTGAACATATGCAACAAATTATTGTTAACTATATTCACCCTACAATGCTATAGAACCTAGAACTTATTCCTATTATCTCGCTGTAACTTTGTATTTGTTAACCAACCTCTCCCTCCCCTTGCCCTTCCCAAACTCCAATAACCACGGTTGTACTCTCTACTTGTATCTCATTTGTCTCTGGTTTAGAATACATCCCACAACTTAACCCAGGGTCAAATTCTCAGCTCCTACTGAGGCATAGAGGAAAGACTCATAATATCCATGGATATTACGGAGATTCAATGAGATGAAATGTAAAACACCTTTTATATAATGAGTGCTCAACAGATGTTAATGGCTTCTTTCCTCCCTCTTCTATTTGCATTTCATACATTAACTCATCTCTCTGCTGTGCTGTACTTTTAAAGCTTCTACAGTTATGAGTCCAACATCATCTTCTCACCAAGACCCAGTGTTATCTCGTCTTTTTTTCCCTCTGTAAGTGGATATGTGAAGTGAGAAGCAAGGGATAAGTCATCATTTTGTGCTAAAACCTTCATTAGAAAGAACCTCCAATTAGCTTTGCTCTCTTCTCTTTGTTGTAGTGGTTCCTGGATTTCCTCTTCCTTTTTTTTTTTTTTGCCCTCAAAAGATATGGGCATCAAAAATCACATACATGAATATCTGAAGATTAAGATTTCCTAATTAGTAGTATAATATTTAAAGCTAGCAATATAAGGCCATTTTGAGACTTATGATTTGAATTTATTTGTTTTTATAGGCTCCAAAACCAAGGAAGGAGTGGTGCATGGCGTGACAACAGGTAAGAGCCATGTGGCTTATGTCCAGGGATGGTATTCAAGACATCTAGGAGCCAGTGTGGCACCAGCATTGAACATTCACAATGTCATTGCAAACCATCACTGTGCCCACGGAAGAACATGTTAAGCCAGCATCAGCCTTGTTTAAGCTTAATTCTTTATGAAATATTTTAAACAGGTAAATATTTATTATAAATAAATAAAACATACTTAATTGCCAAGAATGATGAATTTGAGTTGACCGGTTGCATTTCATTTAAAGTAGTTGGCATTTAAGTATTAGGACCAAAAATGGATTGGCAAACTGCTGGTATAAATAAAATGTAAAGATTACTGTTTTTCAAAAGATCAAAGTAAAATTTTCTGCAGAGTACAAGACAATATTCTAACCCTGAACTCTACTGATTATATTGCCTTGATGATTCAGAGTACATTTTAGGGCACACCTTGGATGATCGATAAATCATTTATTGTGCTTATACTTGTATATTTGCACAACAAGAATTTGAGTAAGTCTATAAGAAGATTTCCAATAAAGAAATAGCAAAAATGATTATGATCATCATCAAATTATGATATCGATGAGGAAAATCATAACAGAAATAAAAAAAATCAAAGGAAAACCAAAATTTAACAAATTAAGAGCCCAGAGACTTGCTATCATTGAGTTTCATGTTGTCATTACTCCACACTTCCTGCCAGGTGTGGTGAAGCCAAAGATATAATCAGGAACAAAATTCATATGATCAGAAAGCATTAAACATAATAGTGCTTCATAAAAATAGGATGTTCCTATCACTAAGTTATAAAATAGAAATGGAAAAAATGAAATGGGAATTTTAATGCAGTGTTTACTTAATACTATAAACACTGGATTCAGATCTCCTTGGTTCAACTTCCTGGTTACTTCTTACAAACTGTGTGATTTTCTGCAAGATTCTGAACCTCTATGTGGGTGTAAAAGAATTAAGTGAATTAATATATAGTATGTATTATATAAGTGTTATTTATTACTTTATAGTGGACTTTCTTCAGCAACATTTTTACAGCTACCAGAGAAAAGTATTTCATACAACTTTTTTTTTTTTTTTTGAGTCAGAGTCTCACTCTGTTGCCTGAGCCAGAGTGCCGTGGCGTCAGCCTCGCTCACGGCAACCTCTAACTCCTGGGCTCACGAGATCCTCCTGCCTCAGCCTCCCGAGTACCTGGGACTACAGGCATGTGCCACCATGCCCAGCTAATTTTTTCTATCTATTTTTAGTTGGTCAATTAATTTCTTTCTATTTATAGTAAAGATGGGGTCTCACTCTTGCTCAGGCTGATTTCGAACTGCTGACCTTGAGCGATCCTCCCACTTCGGCCTCCCAGAGTGCTAGGATTGCAGGCATGAGCCACGGCGCCTGGCCTCATACAACATTTTAAATGTATACTTCTGATAAAAAAACAAGGGCTTAAAAATAAAAAAGAATAGTTTTGAACCTGATTCTGTTGGAAGCTAATTATGCAGCTTTCAATGGCTCTGTTGCAATCCAATATATAATACAGAGAACTAGGCAAGTAAATAGACTGTGTTGCCTTCTAGTGACCTTCTATAAATGTGATATTGTTACACTTAATTTTTAACAAGAACTGGGTAGCAGATTGTTGGGGACTGTGCTATCTGAAGAGGGCCAACCTGGATTAATGGTGTTTCATTTTGATAGTTGAGCGAGAAACCTCAACCTTAGCAAGCAGTTAAGCATGTAGCAAGTTTCAGAGATTGTGGTAGAAATTAAAGAACCTGACTAATACTGTCACCTAAAGACCTAATGGTGGCTATGGAGATGGGCAAGGATCATTGTTGACAAGCCCAGAATATTTTTGTCTTCCTCAGAATGCCAGAACACAGACATGAATTGGGGTATGCATGTTTGTGTGCGTAAGAGAGAGAAAGAAGTTTGTATAATTTGGCAACATTTTACAGAACATTCTCTGAAGGACAGTAGCCCACAAGCTTCTATTTCCATGGTTTTATAACATTGGGAAATTTTGCATACCCTCTCTTCTCTTGAGCATGTTAAAGAATCTGAGATGTTCTACAGTAAAGAAGTTTGTATAAACATAGTTTCACTCAGGGGTTTTTCAAACCTATTTGACTAGTGAAACCTTTCTTCAATAGTTACTAGGGTCAAATAAAACTAACGTTCCACAGAAAACTATGGGAAACACTGCTGAGTAGCAAGGATGTGATGATTTTGGCATGGGCAATATTTACAGCCATTGCACCAGTTAACCACCCTGGCAGTAGGGAGATATATAAAAAAAAAAAGCTAGGCTACGCACAGTGGCTTATACCTGTAGTCCCAGCACTTTGAGAAGCCGAGGCAGAAGGATCACCTGAGGCCAGTAATCTGAAACCAGACTGGGCTACATAGCAAGACCCCATCTTTACAAAATATTAACAATAATAATAACAAAATTAGTTGGATGTGGTGGCATGCTCCTATAGTCCCCTCAGGAGGCTGAGGCAGGAGGATCGCTTGCACCCAGGAGTTTGAGGCTGCAGTGAGTTATGATGGGGCTACTGCACTCCAGCATGGGTGACAGAGTGAGACCCTGTGCCTAAAAAAAATGCTGTCCTAACTAGTCTGACTATTAGAAATGCATTGGGAGAAATCAGCTGCAATAAGTATCATTCCTCTCCCATATCAGATAAATGCATTAATTTGTTTAATAGGGTTATGTAATATAAAATTCTTCATTCCAATGAGGAGGAGAAATAAGATAATTTACCTCAGTGTTTGCTAAAGAAAAGGAGAGTTGGTTGCTTATTATGCTTGGTTTAAAATGTTTATTATGGGCACATATTAAGTGCTAAATAAATAGGACTGAGAACCCAGATATAAAACCATCCTCATATTGTCATCTAATCTTTGATAAAGCAGACAAAAATATACACTTGGGAAAAGAATCTCTATTCAATAAATGGTGATGGGAAAATTGGATAACCACATGCAGAAGATTGAAACTGGATCCCCACCTCTCACCTCTCACAAAAATCAACTCACAATGAATAACATACTTAAACCGAAGGCATGAAACCTTAAGAATTCTAGTAGAAAATGTTGGGAAAACTCTTATAGACATTGGCGTAGGCAAAGAATTTATGAAGAAGACCCCCCAAAGCAATCACAGCAGCAACAAAAATAAATAAATGGGACCTGATAAAATTAAAAAAACTTCTGCACAGCCAACGAAACTATCATTAGAGCGAATAGATGACCTACAGAATGGGAGAAAATATTTGCTCTCTACACATCCGACAAAGGGCTGATAACAAGAATCCATATAGTACTTAAGAAAATTAAGAAAAAAATCAAACAACCCCGTTAAAAAGTGGGCAAAGGACATGAACAGAAACTTTTCAAAAGAAGACAGAATAATGGCCAGCAGACATATAAAAAAGTGCTCAACATCTCTAATCATCAGGGAAATACAAATCAAAACCACAATGAGATATCACCTACCTTCCTTCAGTAAGAATGGCTTTTATCAAAAAGTCCCCAAGCAACACGTGCTGGCGTGGATGCGGAGAGACAGGAACACTCTTATGCCGCTGGTAGGACTGCAAGCTAGTGCAACCTCCATGGAAAGTAATACGGAGATACCTTGAAGAGCTAAAAGAAGAACTACCATGTGATCCAGAAATCCCACTACTAGGCATCTAGCCAAAGGAAAAGAAGACATTTTACAATAAAGACATCTGCACTCGAATGTTTGTGGCAGCACAATTCACAATCGCAAAGATGTGGAAACAACCCAAGTGCCCATCAGTACATGAATGGATTAATAAAATGTGGTGTATGTATACCATGGAGTTCTACTCAACCATAAAAAGCAATGGTGAACTAGCACCTCCTGGGTGGAGCTAGAGCCCATCCTTCAAAGTAAAGTATCAGAAGAATGGAAAAACAAGCACCACATGTACTCACCATCAAATTGGTACTAAGTGATCAACACTTAGGTGCTCACATGGAAGTAATATTCATTGGGTGCCAGGTGGGTGGGACGGGGGTGGTGGGGATGGGTAAACTCACACCTATTGGGTGGGGAGCACCCTGTATGGGGGATGGGCATGCTTGTAGCTGTGGGTTGGGCAAAGGCATTATAGATAACCAAAATGTTTGTACCCCCATAATATTCTTAAATTTAAAAGAATAAATAACATCTCAGAGACAGTGCAAACCCTAAAAAAAGTAAAGTCGTGGAATTTATGTTATGTGAATCATATCTCAATAAAAAATATCATTAAAATGCCAAAAAAAAACCCACCCATAAGTCTTTCTATAGGATATGTGGCAAAAAATCCAAGCATTTTGATAAAAGCTATCTTTTTTTCAAAACACATATTCTTCAAAAGGAAATTTCAGATGAACATTTTCCCCAGTTAGCAAAAGTCACTGATGAGCAGGATGACCTATGCAAATCATTTGAAGAATACGCAGCTGTTATAGACCTGTTAATTGGCGAATGCAATGAAAGGGTCGCTGACTTTGAGAGTCATGACATCACACTCAAATTAGCATTTCAGCCTCAACTAGTTGATATCATCAAGCCACCTAAAGAACTCCAGGTGGAATTGATTGAGGTCTCAGTAGATGACTTTTTTAAAGTCATTGTTCCATGCTAAGAAAGATCCAATTGAAATATGGAAAAATGCAGTAGAATACCCATGCCTTGGGCAACATGCCCCCCCAAAAATTCTTTCTTGCTTTTCAACCACTTATTGTTGCGAATCTGCATTCTCCCACCTAACCCTAATCAAGACGCCCTGAAAGTCACAAACGACTGATACCCCATCTAGAGCATCAACTGAAGCTGTGACCCTCCATGCTGCGACCAAATTTTCAAACGCTTTCCAACAAAAAGCAGACACAACCAAGTCATCAAAAGGTTGGTTAACTTTAAAATTAACAAATAGTTTCCATTTTTTTGAAATTATTAAGTACATAGTAGTTAGATTTTTTTATACTAAATAATGTACATTTTTAAGGATATCTAATTGAAGTTTCTAGAATGCGGCCTTGTTTGATTACAGCGAAATTAATGCACCCTTCCAACATGAAAAGCTTCCCCATCCTGGTCTAGATTCTTTGTTCCCATTAACATTACTGAAAATCCATTTTATTATGATAAACCCTCTGTTTTCACTACCTGAAGTGCCATAAAAGGATCAAAGTTCCTTCATACCCATCTCTTACGCTGTTGTTCATTCATATGTGTTAATCCCATACATGAGTATGTATTAAGTAGTATGTGTTCTGTTACTCAGAAGGTGTCGTGAAAATGAACTTGCCGAGTGAGGTCGAAAGACTGGCTTTGAATTGAAATAAAGAAATAAATTTCGTGCTGAGTCTGAGTCAACTACTAATATAACTGCACCTGTAAACATTACTTCCTGTAAATCTTCCTTAATATAAATCAAACTCAAATTGTGCATGGCTTTATACTCCTGATCTTTAAACCCGAAGTGCTTTTTGATACCTGCATGGTGACAACAAAATACCTTAGCAAATGTGTGGTTGAATCCCACTCACTTAGAAATCTTGGTAGCTTCCCAGTCAGGAAAGTGGCATGAAAAGAAAAGAGGAAAAATAGGAAAAAAAAAAAGTTGTTTACAGCATGTGTAAATATAGTTGTGTAGAACTTGATGGCTAGTGAGAGTGGAATTCTTTTAAGTCACTGTCATTCCACCATCTTTCAATCTGTTGTTGTTCTTGATTTCTCGCAGTGGCTGAGAAGACCAAAGAGCAAGTGACAAATGTCGGCGGGGCGGTGGTGACAGGTGTGACCGCAGTAGCCCAGAAAACAGTGGAGGGAGCAGGAAGCATTGCAGCTGCCACTGGCTTTGGCAAAAAGGACCAATTTGGCAAGGTATGGCTACATGTGTCTTACGATATATTTATAAGCTCGTGAAATTATGGTTCATTTTCAATGTGATGCATTGAGGTAGAAACAAGATGCTTATCCTACTCGACCCTCCCCTTTTAAAAAAAGAACTACCTTTATATGCATCTTGTTTTTTTGAACTATTAACCCAGATAAATGCCATGCAACTCGTACAATAATCACAGTTGTTTCAATTTCTGGAAGAAAGTTAATGCTATGAAAAATGTGGTAAAATGCTAAAAGGAATGGTGACATTTCAGAAAGAATGGGTGCTCTTATGTTAACTATAAATCTTGGAATTTCTTTGTTGGAATAACAAAGCTCTTTGTGCCTAATCTCTAAACTTCCAAAATGAAGATCTTTTTCTCGACTTCTTTGTAATGACATCATCTCTCATGAAATGGCATATTTGCATATCATATAAACAGTTCACCACCAAATACATATTTGTGGGAGCTAAGAGACTTAAAATACGTGCCAACCAGAGATCACGGTTTTGGCGTGATTTAAAAATTCTCAGAAGAATTTTGACTGCGTTTTTGGATAAATATGCAACTTGAGTATGATTCTATAAAGGTTATGACTCTCATTTTAAACATGGAAGTAACAGAGTGTGGGGTGTCACTTGAAAGGAGAAATTTTGTAAGATGTCATGACTATGACAGCAAGATAATCTTTGCTTTTTCCCTGTCGTAATGGCCTTCTTGTTATTCCTCGAGCAAATCAAGCTTACCCTGGCTCTATCCCCTCCCTCTCTGCCTAAAAAGCTCTTTCCCAAAACCATATACTGTACTCGACCTCATCTGCTCAGGTCTTCGTTAAATGACACTGGATTCTCAGCATGGCATGCCCTGACCTATGTAAAACTGGAACCATTCTCACTTCTGCTATTCCCAATCTACTCTTTTTTTCCCCCAGAAGTGTTATCACCTATAAAGATAATAATTTACTTATTTCTTATGTTTGTTGCTTATTTTATTTCTTCCTTGAAGAATGTTAAGCACCATGAGAGTAGAATATATTTATTTTGTTCACTGATGTTTCACAAGTGTCTATGAGTGTTCCTGACACATACATACAATTAATAAATATTTATTAAGTGAAGGAGGGAGGGGAGGAAGGACAAAAGTGAATAAGCAGAATGACTTTTATTTCTGGGTCTTTTATAATCACATGCTTAATATAAGAAACATGGCTTATATTAAGCCATCCCACCATCCAAAAGTTAGAATCAAAATGATTCTGGATGGATGGATACCCTGAGAACTGTTAAAAAGAAGTTTTATTTGCTGGCGGACTGCTCTGTGTGTGTTCACTTCATGGAATCAGTCCTAACTAGCAGCCCTACCTTGACAGCCCGTTAAAATATTGATAATAAAAAAGACAGGAAGAGAAACCTGTGATATATTTAGATTGACCACTTGTAGTTACATTGTCTGATTTCATTGATGCTAATTATGGAAAAATCTGAACCGCTCACCTCCTGCTGTGGGTCCCAGTTTAGGGACCTGGGGTTGGGGACTGGGACATTATATCACTATCCCAACCACTTCCTCAAAATCTACCTTCCTTTAGGTTTTTATGAATTGAATTATGAAGAACTTGATTTAAATGGAGAATTTCGTTTGTTTCAGAATATTAAGGAACCAGGGAGACGTGCACCCTTCCCAATTCACCCCCATCTAAGGCATGCAATGGAAATTGCAAATGGGGCATGAAAGTGCATCATCTTCTAAACACTTGGGTTTGTTTTCCATCCTTCTAAAAAATAATATTGCTGCTTATTTTAATATTTCAAAGCGGCAATCTAAATGATGTCACAATACCATTAGGAGATATTTCTCTTATTGGTACTATAGATTCTTAACAAATTTCTAACATGAAAATGAAGCCATAAAACCTAAAAATCACAGCATGGTGGTGAAAAAAACCATCGGACTGGAAGTAAAAATGACTGGTTTTTATCTGTGCTCTGTTATCAACTACCTGGATAAACTTTCGCAGATCTCCTAAAACTCTTTCTCAAATAACAAAGGAACTCTACTCAAAAATTGTTAAAGCCCAGTTTAGCAATAAAGTTCTGAGTTTCTGTAATAACTCAAGGAATACGCTAGTGAACACCTGTTATTCTGGCCATGCCTATGGGATGCCAGAAAACCTGGAGAGTTTAAATAGAATCATTAAATTTGTTCATTATGAAATTTGAAATAATTTAACTTCATCTTTCAGACTCTAATAAAAATGATCCTGGTGAGAATATAAATAAGAATTTCTTTTTTTTTTGCTTTAACTGCTTATTAGTGACCTTAATGAGACACTCATTTATCATGCAAGAAATAATGATTGCTCACACAGTGCCAGAAACTTTGGGGAAGAGGAGTGTGACAAGCAGGACTCCTAGATGCGTAGCTTGTGGAGGTAGATTCATAACCGTGCCATTCTCGTGGTAGTTGGTTCCTGTCTTTAAGATCGGGAACATTAGCCAGTTGCAGTGGCCCATGCCTGTAATTCTAACAACACTTTGGAAGTCCAAGATGGGAGGATCGCTTGAGGCCAGGAGTTTGAAACCATCCTGGTGAGACCCTGTCTCTACAAAAAATAAAAAAAAAACAAAAATAGCAGGTCGTGGTGGCATGTGCCTGTACTCCTAGTTACTCCCTAGTTCCTTGGGAGGCTGAGCCAGGAATATCTCTTGGGCCCAGGATTTTTAGCTATGATTGCACCACTGGCTCCAGCCTGGGCGACCCTGTCTCTCTCTTAAAAAAAAAAAAAAGAAAGAAAGAAAAAGAAAGGTGAGAGAGAGAGAGAGAGAGAGAGAGAGAGAGAGAGAGAGAGAGAGAGCAGGAACACTGGAAGAAGAATGGAGGAATGGTGGCATGATGGCATTGATTTTCACCCTTCATGCTCTTTGAGGGTATTTGGCCTGTCACCCTCTTGTTGATGAGGAACCAAGTCCCCCTCTTTCCTTCCTTCCTTCCCTTTTGTTTTCTTGTTTTGTTTTGTTTGACATCAAGACTCTAGTCGTTCATTTTTATTTTGATTTTCTATTTGCTAAATTGATCTTTTTGGGACGTACTTGCTTTGATGTGCTCTATCTGCTTTTGATATTAAAAGAGAGATAATGACCACAGAAATCTAAGTGGTCCCCCCACATGTTTTACTAAGTATAATTGGTAAATAAAAACTATATATATTTATGGTGTATAATACTATGTTTTGATATATATGCACACTGTGAAGTGATTATAAAAATCAAGATCATTAACATACCCATCACCTGACATAGCTGTCTTTTTCTTTTTTGTAGTGGCAAAATGTAAGAGCTACTGTCTTAGGGAATTTCAAGTATATAATACAGTAGTATTCACTGTAATCCCCATGCTAATTGAAACTTTGTACTCTTTGACCAACGTCTCCCTGTTTCCTCCCCTCCCCCAGGCCTGTTAACCACTGTTGTACTCTCTGTTTCTATGAGTTTGACTTTCTTAGATTTCACATCAACATGAGATCATGCTGGATTTGTCTTTTTGTAATCTCCTCAATGTTCATCCATGTTGTGGCAAACGTGAGGATTTCCTTTTTTTAAAAGGATGAACAGTGGCCAGGCGCGGTGGCTCACACCCGTAATCCTGGCACTCTGGGAGGCCGAGGCGGGCGGATCCCTCAAAGTTGGGAGTTCAAAACCAGCCTGAGCAAGAGAGAGACCCTGTCTCTACTAAAAAAATAGAAAGAAATTAATTGGGCAACTAAAAATATATAGAAAAAATTAGCCAGGCATGGTGGCACATGCCTGTAGTCCCAGCTACTCGGGAGGCTGAGGCAGGAGGATCGCTAGAGCCCAGGAGTTGGAGGTTGCTGTGAGCTAGGCTGATGCTACGGCACTCCAGCCCGGGCAACAGAGTGAGACACTGTTTAAAAAAAAAAAAGGCTGAATAGTGTTCCATTGTGTGCACGGTCACCTCTAAGCCCCCACGGGTTTGGGGGCTTGGTTTCAGGACCCCATGGATACCAAAATACCTGAATGCTCAAGCCCCTTTATATAAAATTGCCTAGTATTTTCATATAACCTGCACACTTCCTCCCACTTACTTTAAATCAATCATCTCTAGATGACCTATAGCACCTGATACAATGTAAATGCTGTATAAACACTTGTCATACTATATTGCTTTTTTATTTGTATTACTTTTTACTGTTGCATTTTTATTATTTCTTTCAAATATTTATGATTCGGGGTTGGTGGAATCTGTGGATCAGGCACCTGCAGGTACGCAGGGCTGACTGTATAGACCACGTTTTCTTCATTCATTCGTGTTCATGGACACATAGGTTAGTCCCATGTGTTGGCTATTTTGAATAAGACTGCAGTGAGCTTGGGAGTGTAGGTATCAATCCAACACACTGATTTTCTTTCCTTTGGACGTGTATGTAGAAATGGGATTGCTGGATCACATGGGAGTTCTACTTTTAATATATTGAGAAACCCTTGTATTTTTTTTTAAATGGCTGCACCAATATACATTCTTTGCAACTGTGGACAAGGGTTCCTTTTTCTCCACATCCTCACAGAACATTCCATCCATCGGCAGCAGAAATGCACGTTCTTTTCAAGCACTCATGAAACATTCTCCAGCATAGATCAGACATGAGGCCACAAATCAAGTCCTAATACATTTATGAAGATTGAAATAATATTATTTGTTTGTGGCCACAATGCTATAAAACTGGAAATCAATAACAGAAGGAAATTGGAAAAATCACTAATATGTGGAAATTAAATAACACAGATCTGACAAACCAATGGGTCAAAAAGAAATCAAAGGAGATCATTGTTTTTGTGAAATCGATCATAGAAATGAAGCTACCCTTGGTAATAATTTTTACTTATGAAACCTCAGAGAAAAAAATAAACAATCTTAAACTTTGAGAATTTGTTTTATCAAACATTATGGGCTTCTCTATTTAACACACCAGAATAATAGATC